CAGGGACCCTCCTGCCGCTATCAACGGTGTGCGATACCCCGCGGAAAGCCTCGGGGCTTTGAAGCCAAGCGGCGAGAATTAGCCCAGACCCAACCCAAGTCGAACGCAAACCCACCTTCTCCCAGCAGCGCAGAGCCGTGCTCGCCTTCGGCTTTCAGTCGAACCAGGGGAACCGCGGGGTCGAGAAGGGGAACCGCGGGGTCGAGAAGGGGAACCGCGGGGTCGAGAAGGGGAACCGCGGGGTCGAGAAGGGGAACCGCGGGGTCGAGAAGGGGAACCGCGGGGTCGAGAAGGGGAACCGCGGGGTCGAGAAGGGCTCCTCGCTACCAGCAACAGGCAAATACTGAGGTTTTGGTCTTCTTCTCCCCTCCATTAACATGCTTTGAAATGCAACCGATTTCCAGAGACCAGAACATGCGGGGAGTGAAAAGTAACCAAAGGTTGCAGGTGTTTTTAATGAGCTTCTGAAAATCGACTGGAAGGACTCGTTTACACCCATTCCACCGGCATGGTCTTGATGGAAGAATGAGACAGAGAGAAAAGTTTTGAGTATATAAAAATAACTGTAATATTTTATTACAAGAAGAAAAAAAAAAATTTACAAAAAAAATACACAAAACACATCAGGGGCTTTGATGTCGGACATCAGAGCACGCAGGAACTACCCAAAATCTGCGGAAAAAAGGAGTTACACACACACACACACGTGCGCAGAATGAACACCGGGAAACCCGCGGGAGGCTGCTCCCAGGGACGCCGGCCCGGCACCCGCGCCGGCACCTCAGGGCAGGGACTTCTTGCCCCGGGCTGCTGCGGAGGCTTCTCAGCTCTGTCGAGGTTCCTCAGCTCCCCTCTGTGTAACAGAATCATTTCAAGGTAGCTTCTTCCTTCCGTCAGTCTTCAGCTCCCGAAGGCTACCGCTACTAAAACCAAACAGCCCTTCTTCTGCGTAGTACGAGGATTCAGAGGAGGCTTACGTACCCTCCCCACACCGACGCGGTCTGTGTAAATTAAATCCGATAAGCCCGCACCAGCCCGGTGCGTCAGTGAAGCATTACACCAAGGAGCCAAGCGGGCACACGGACGTTTCAAGAAGCCAAAGCCTGTTTCTGTGCCAAACCAGGGCCTGAGTTTCGACCGTGAGGGCAGGTGACCCGGCCGAAAGGGCAGCCGGTTACGTGCTGTGTATGACATTTTATATGGTAGAGAAAGAGTTAAGTCGAGCGAAAGCCTACAATCAAATATTCGGAAGAGGAGTTGTTTTTAATACACCTACTTGGGGGATCTTTTGTGGGATTTCACGAGAAACGAAGAATAAATGAGCTCTCAGATGCAACAGATCCCAAACAGTTGCCCAGAGAGGTGGTGGATGCCCCATCCCTGGAAACATTCCAGGTCAGGTTGGACGGGGCTCTGAGCAACCTGATCTAGTTGCAGATGTCCCTGCCCACGGCAGGGGGGTTGGACGAGATGGCCTTTAGAGGTCCCTTCCAACCCAAACCACGCCATGACTGTATTATCCTGCTCAAACCCCTCACCCCTGGAAGTACCACGTTATATTGAACGCAGGGCGGGATACAACCGAAACCTCCACTATGCTGCAGGAAAAGCACAAAGATTTTCTTCCGCAGACAGCACGCAGCAAAGATTACCTTTCACGCGAAGACGACTCTCTGTTTTTCCCCCCTCCATTTTATTGTTGTCGTCCAATTACTGGATGCGTTCAGGAAGTTCCAGGCCCACAGTCACCTGAAGTTTGGACAATGCCTTGCTTTATGCCGCATCTGCTGTCTGGAACACTTACCCAGCAGAGCTGACAGGGCAGGAACATCACACAGGACCTAATCTTCCAAATTCATAGTTCCTTCCCTTTTCAGGCCCAAACGAGAGGCGGGTACCACACAAGGAGCCCAGCGAGCTGCGGAGCACCTTGCGAGTACTCGGATCTCGGCCTGCAGCAGCGTGTAGAGCCAGACGCGACTTGCTGCGCTGCTCCCGCACCTCTACCGCGCGTTACCGCAGCCAAACCGCAAGCTACCCAACGGGCACGGGCTGTCCGACACTGCGCTCCGTCGTCCAAACGCGCGCGGGGATCAGCGGGCTGAAAACCAACCGATCTGAAAAGAAACCACGACTTCGCAAGGTGTGTCCGAGTCAGGGTGACAGTCGTCCTGCTGTTCTGGGGTAAACCCCGACAAGCGCGAACCGCAGCGATCCGTCTTCGCGAGAGACCGCTTCGCCCCGCCGACGGAAGGACGGCTTCTACACGCGGCTGAGCTGCTCAGCCGGGAAGGCAGAGCGCCCCGTGGCAGAGAACACTCTGAAGCAGTATCTGCCTTTAAGGGACGCGTCAGGGAGGGAAGGGGCAGATGGCTCTTCAGAACAGCAGCTCTTTCCCACTCCCTGACTGGAGCGCGGTTACACGGCGGTAACCGACGCCAGCAGCACGGCCAAGAGAACCCGGACACCCTTCTCGCTGGGGACCTCGTGCGTTTCGCCACGCAAGATCCAAGTCTGGGAAGAATTTCCGCAAAGAGCGGGGCGAAGCAGAGAGACGGGGAAGGAAGGTCAGATCACAAACCGCATCCGTGCCGCTTTTCTTTTTTAAACTGCTGGCCGCTATCGGCACCTCTGTCGCTTTGAGAGATCGTTTATTCAGCGTGCAGCAAGCCACTTCGAAATCCACACCCTGAGGTCCTGAGGGGTTCCAAGCTGCAGCGACCCGGTTTGCAGGCTGTATGCAAGACGGCACGCACAGAGAAAACAGAGCAGAGTACAGCGCGCGTACGGGAAGGAGAGGTCTCCCCTGGAAACTACAGTGTAGCAATTAATAAACACGAAATGGAACATTACAGAGAAGATCCCAAGCGTATGACTGAAAGAAAAAGCCATCTCTTTGGTACAGTTATATGCAGCCGAGTTTTACAACACAGAAAAAAAAAACCCACAAACAAACCAACCCCAAACCCAAACCC